ACTAAATCCACTGAGCCTCATGTATGTTCCCTGGTTTTAGCCATGGAGAAAACTCTTGGCTGGATAATCAATTTTTGTTAAATTTACACTTGCTCATATTTTCCAGACAAAAAGTTAATGGTGCATCTCCCAAATGTCGCGGCTGCAACAACGCTTTATTGGTTCCGCGATCAGGACGGAACCAATAATGGCGAGCCTTTATTTATGTTTTGAATATTAAAAAAATGGTCCATTTTAACGTTTTATTTAGATTACAAAAATAAATCGAAATAAAAATAATCCTATTTATGATGTTTTAAAAATTAAGACTGATTTAAGACATTTTAATACCAATTAAGGCCTTAGTTTTATTTTGAAGAATTCAATGCCTTTTAAGACTTTTTAAGGACCCGTGGGAACCCTGTCACATTTCATGAAGAAAACAATCATGTAGAAAATACTGCCCTTTAAGACTGAGCTCTGCCATTTACCAAAGAGACAAAAAAAACTAAAATAATATGACTTTCGTGGAGTTTTTGGACAAATAAAACAACAGTTATTAGAAAACGAATGTTGTTGTTGACACAAAGATAAAGTAGTGTAGCTTAATATGGCTAACTGACCGAGCCACAGCGCTACCCAGCTCTCCCCATTTATATCATGGTCTAACACTTTGTTCACCATAAAAAGGATCTTTTTTAGTTTTATCATTCAGGTAAAACAAAACTGTACACACAACAACGTCTACGGTTGTGGTTGGATGATACTGAAATTATTAATTAAATAATAATGTTTTTTTGGTCCACTTCAACAAGCTCTACATCATCCCTTTTTCATTTTTTTTTATTGTTTTTACGACACCAGTGGCTGGTTTTTACGACAGTAGGTTGACAGGAAAAGAGGTATGAAAGAGGGGGAGAGACATGCGGCAAAGGACCACAGGCCGGATCGAACCCGGCCGCATCAAAGACTGGTGGTGCACTAACCACTGCGCCACCTGCACACCCATCCCTTTTAAATAAAAATGTCATTAAATGTTTATAACAAATAAGATCAAGTGTTTAGCCCAATGTTTTTTCAGCAACAGCATAAGCAATCTTTTCGGGCTTGTCCTAAAACGTTACTAAATAAGTAATATGTTGTTGAGCCTGTGGCTGCCACAGACAACTGGACCAGCCAAGCTGATCCTCAGCAGGATTCTTATAAACCGACCCGGTGATGCAGGCCTGAGTTGGTGCAGAAGCTCACCTCAATGTGGATGGCTTCCTTGGGCTTTTTGCGGTAAAACACTCCTTTGATGTCAAAGTTTGGGCAACGTGTGTCTTTTTGAACTGGTGAACGAACTCGCTCTCCTTCACAGGTGATTATCACATAAGAATCCACAGCTGCAAGGAAAAAAAATCAGAAAAAATACACACATGATCTCGGTTATTTGCATCAGTTGCTAACAACAGTTCTTCTAGGGCAGGGGTGACCAATTGAAAATCAGTCAAGTCTGAATAAAGAAAATCATCAACCAGTAAAGGTATTTTTAATTATAATCCGATACTTTAATCCAAATTTAACACTGAAATAAAATTAGGTTTTTTGTCTCAATGTTATACATTGACATTTTAAATGAAAAAAATATATATATATATATA